AGAGAATGATGATTGATGTGCTATTATGTTCAAGATTGCAGAACTTGAAAAGGACTTTACAGAAGCAAGCGATTGGCTCAGACAGACCGGTCAGGGTGTAATGGTATCACTTCAAGAGGAACAAGCAAAAAACAGGTGGACGGAGGATAGTCCCGAGTATACAAACAGGAAGAAGTTTCTGATTGATGGTGAGTTTGACTCTCCAACACCATCTGTGATTGATTCTTTTCACCTAGCTATTCCTTTGTTGTTTCAGATTATATCAAAAACCACAAATGTAAGTACTTCAAGGAGTTGGAGCCGGTAATGGGAGTTCGGGACAAGGCTACACGACTCTTGGCAGCAAGCAGTACCCTCCCCCCAAACCCTGAAAGCTCTTTAGACTGTTTGGGCTTAAGTCAAAAACAAGATTCAATGCAGGTTGAGGAAATGGACACTTACGAAGTTGAATTGGGTACGGGTACTCATGGTTTAAAAAATTCAGTCTTAAGTCCACGCAACGACGATGATCACTCTCAAGCCTCGAATGATCAATACCACCTTGATACGCATAAAATTGAGGATGACTTTGATGTGTCTAATGAGGATATTCGGTGTCTTTTGGATAATGATCCATAAGAGTTAGGTATGTAGACTCACAGTAGATAATTTGAAATAGCATAGCTAATTTCAAATCGATTTTTTGTAGAAGTCAAGAATGTTGAGACTTCTACAAAGAAGAACAAATCAATACAAAAGTCTTATAGTGCAACATCGGTCTCTTCTACTTCTACGCGGAAAGCTCACAAACCTGGAGCAGATACCCAAGTGGTCCGTCTATTGGAAGGTCAGGAGTCAAAAATCAATTCGTCTATCTCCAAGATTGAGGAGGTAGTCCTTGCTTCAGAACGCAAGGACAACCACATTGGCGAAGCTCTCAAGGATCTCGCGCAGGCCCTAAAGCCCAAAAAGGATCCCCGTTTGTTGTTATCTGAAGAAGAGCAGGTTGACCTGGCAAGACTTGACATGAAAAATCAACATCTGAAAATTGAGGCCGCTGAAATTGAGGTCAAACGCGCAAAACAAACTATGAACTTGGAGTTTGCTGCAGCAAGAGGTAAATTCATTGCTCAGCTTATGAAGGATAATGGCTGGACTGTGGAACAAGCCAAAGTGGTCGCGGATGAGGTTTTTGTAGTGCCTGATAATTAGTAAGCATTTTTACTTTATGACACCTCAAAGATCAAAACTTGACTTTTCAATCATATGTTTTCAGACTTTAAGACTTCCTCTATGCTTTCAAATCGTCCAATTTTGATCTCTACACTATTATATATTGTGCGGTCTTGTTTGCGTTTTCAATATATTGTTATGTTGGTCGTTCTTGATCTTTTTTCTGGGCAAAGTGACGTTAGGGATAAAACTCTTCCTAAATTGGCAAGGTCAAATGTTTGAAGTGTCTTTCATACAGTTTGCAAAGTTCTCATCTCACTTTCAACCATGTGATTGTTTTCAGCGGTTGTTATTTGATTTTGGTCTCTCAGATAGCAAGATCAAGTGTCTCGAAAGTGAAATAAATTTCATCTATCACACTGTTTCAACAGAAGCATGTAAAATGCGAGGAAAAAATAATAGATTTGGTATTAATTTTCGCGAGTAGCTACAAAGGCCTCAAAAATAGCATCTCTACGAAAGGGATTTCTACCATTATTTAAATCATTTTGAGTCTCGTCAGCAGAAGGTAAGTTTGGCGGAGGTCTTCTTCTTCTAGAAACGTGGATCAGACCCTCTTCGATAGGACCAAATTCCGCATGCCATAATTCGCCATTTGCTGTTAAATAGTTATGTAGTATGATACACGCTCGTATCCACGCATTAGCTCATTGTGCACTTTGCACGTTCTTGATTAGGATTCACAGTTCCTTAAGTGACTGAAAACGTCCTTTCAGCATGCCAATTGTCTGTTCAATGGCCACTCTCAATTTACTTAACTCCTCATTAAAAGAATCCTCATGAGACCTCAGTTGTTGACCTTGTCCGCGTTTAAAGGGTGTAACTAGCATATCAGCGGCGCTTGCGCCGCGACCAAAGTTTTGAATCACAAAAGGTGTTGAGTTATCAACACCATCATGGAGTAGGCACCTAACTATTGTTTTCTTGATTGAATCAGAAATGTCATGGATTATATTAACTTGTGATTAATCAATACTAAGGTGAGAAGTTTCACAGCATTATTTAATCATACACTATGACATAAAGGTCAAGTCAACAAAAAGGAGCCGATCATATTGATCTACAAAATTTCACATTTTGGATAAGATGAAAACAAAAATAGCAGGACTGCTTTGAAGGTTTCAACGATTTTAATTCAAACCACTTCGTTTATATTTCTAATAGTTCAGTTGATCGAGAGAGCCTTTGAATTGATCATAGTTTTTGTAGTCAGCATCACTCTTTGGTTATGTTCTCCACCTTCACTTCTGATTTGACACATGAACTCACTATGTTAATCCATGTTGCTTTATGATCTACCTTCTCAATTTAATGCATTGACTCTAGATAACTCTTCCTACGAATTGTAACCAATCATGCAGATAGATGAGACAATCTTTTGTTTATGAGACCTTGAAAATCGAGGCACTTACTGAAAGATCCATGTAGGTCCAGTTCGATTTGAAATGACATTGTATTCCATGCCTCTTGAAGTTCTCGACTAAGTCTCGATCTTCCGCTCGCACATTGTTACAAGTAGTGAACACGATATGCTTGAAATTTATAGGCTTTGTAAATGAACCAACAGCATTTGTCTTTAACATTCTACCCCAAGCATCTTTTGATTGTGCATAGCAAGTGACCAAAACTTCCATGTTCTGAAATAGTTTCAATTTTAACCACCTGAAGTTTGTGCCCATGCATGTTGCTTCAATAGAACGTATAACTTTCAGTTTAGGAAATGTTTCATGAACGGCTCCCCTTGGAACAGAAGTCGGAATGTGCTCTAAGAAGAGATACTCAAGTGAATCTTTTAAAGCTAGGATAACTGGATCTGGTCGCTTGTGACCATCGTATGGTAAATACTCAAGATATTTGATGTTGTTGCCTTGGCCCTTGCATAAATGAGTGATCGCATCAAGATTGTTCCGGTCACACATAACAAATAGATGTTCTAGGCGAGACAATGACCCAGGGTTGATTTTCAAGCGGTTCAAGTAACCAAAATTTAATGATAATGATCGGAGTTGAGGAGTGACATTAAGAAGATCTTTTACTGAATTGGAGTGGTTTACATCAACCCCGAAAGGGCTTCCTTGAATGATTAGTTTATCAAGGTTACGAACTTGTTTTATAGCTTCTATTATACTTGCTGAGAATCCGACCGCACCATAAAAACTGAATTTTAAGTCATGTAAGGTATTACTACACAATTTGATGATATCTTCTACATCCTTCATCATGACCGAAGAAAAGTCAAGATGACGCTTGATCAATGTAACATTTGGTACTCCTGTTTGATCGGGCTTGCTTAATTTTACATTAAATTTCAAATTCGGATACTCCACTTGATCAAAGCTTAATCGCTGGATTTGAGACGTGGTCGAAATTACTACAGAGTGACTCCAAGTATTTTTGAGGCATTTGATCATCGACGGCGCTGATAAAGACATATTCTGATATATATGTGGTATAATTGCAATTGACCAAGATTTGTCGATTAATCGTAACTTGAGTAATTCGGACACAGCTGAGTGTTTTAAGAAGGGCTGGTCGGCAGTATTTTCTGGAATCAGAGTTGTTTGTGCCAATTCAGCTTTAAAGTGATCTAAAATTAAGTCTATTACTTCAAGTGGAAGTTGATTAGTACCCATGACGATTTTGTGAGGTATCAAATGAAGTAATGGGAGAGGTGCTGGATATTAGAAGTCCTCTTACCACTTGGCATTGGTATACTTCGAAAATTGATACATTGGGGTCGGTCGGTTACTTTGGGTTGGATTTTCATGTTGGGGTTGGTGTATCAATTGTTTTCTATGTTGAAAACCCATGTTGCTCAGTTGTGTCAATAGCACAAGTGGTAAAGAGTGAGAAATGAGACTAATCTATTCCCGGTTTAGGCTCATGATGCCCGATCGTGAAATTTCTTTGCTTATTCGATCCTAATGGGATCTGATATTTACCGTCCCCTGGAATTGAAAGTTTGAGGTCATCCTGACACATTATATAGTATAGCGCATTGCAATTCAGGCTAGGACAAATGTGAAAGAAAGTGTAAGGCACCCGTAGTTTGAGAATCAAATTTATTATGATATGCATTTACATAATGCTTTAAGCTCAGTTTAATTTGTCGAGTTTGATTTTGACTTCTTGCTCATAACATTTTACAACTTCTGTCTTATACAATTCCCATTCTTCATCAGTCTTTCCTTTTCTCATTTTGAGCAACCCTTCAATTCTGTTCACCAAAGCCTCGTTGATTTGAAGCGAACAACCAAATCTAGTAATTGGCGAGTTTTTGGGTTTGATTGGAGTCCACCCTTCATCGTACGTTGTTGATCGGGAGGTATGATGGATTTCATCAGAGGCCCAGATACTCTCCACAACTCCATCGCAAAGATCTAAACCTAGCTCCGCGTGGTACTGATCCAAAATGAAATGAGTTCCATCCGTATCTCCAAGATAGTCTGACGTTTCAACGCAGTGAAGCTCCCCTGTCATGCGGTTGATGCGTGTGAAAATTGCATAAGTGTATGCGGTCTCATCACGATTGTTATGCGGGTTATTGTTGAATCCATCTCTTGTAACCACTACACTTGAGGCGAATACGTTTGCGTTTGGTGATTTTGACCAAGTCATGTCTGCAAAAGATGGTACCTCATACTTAAGGGCTAGGTCTCGATTCGATTTGAACGCTCGTAGGCATAATGATGACATCCACTCTGCAAAGATCTCATTGACCAAAGCGATATCAAGCATCCGATCTTGATCCTCAAGAATCAGTTCTTTCTTCTTACTGGTCTTCGCATTTAATGCTGTGACTCCTATATACAAACATATAGGGACAATCAGATCAAACAATTGACAATTAATGCAACCTATGTAACACAACTGACCCATTTTTCTACCTCGGTCTGATCCTGGTCGGAATCCTGCTGACCTCATTTCACCCCAATCCTCTAATCCTTGAACCGAACCGTTGATTTTAACTTCACCTCTAGCTAATGTGTGCTGATATAACGTTTGAACTGCAAATTCCATGTCTTCCTTTGTTTCGTGCGACATATCTAAAAACCGAGTGAAACGATTGACTTGGATGACCTTCCAGGTATCAGCGTCGAGGATGACCGAGTTTCCAAAGGTGATTCTTAGTCGAGGTTTTTGGGGGAGAGAGTCCTTGGGATATTTCTTCAGGAAATAAATATGGCAGTTGCTCGGTATGCCAAAAGTGCGACTTAGTTCAGCACGCAATTCTTCGAACTTCGTTTTTCGCATTTCATTTCGTTCGGGATGGTTTCCCATTTTGTGTTTGGCTCTGAGTTGTCCTCTACGTTTATCACGTTGCTGATTGTACTTTTGACTGGCAGAAGATCGCTTCTTGGGCATTTCGATGTTGAAGTGATGATCTGCGAATATGATAGAATTGAATGTGTTAATGAGTTGGTTGCTCCAATCAAACCTTCAGAATGAACACTACATTGGGACCTACTACGGCTGTATATGAATACCCTTAAGACTACGGTTCTTTCCCACATTTGGAACCTAGATCCAGTTATCTCAAGGTATATTCATACACAGCTTTATAGGTCGCAATAGGAGTTTTCCCTTAGAGAACAGAAAAAAAGCTGCAGCACGTGAAATGGGTGACTAAACATACCTTAAATAATGAACTCCTATGAGTCTCAGGCCAGACTGTTCAATAAAGAAAGAAATATGTTGAAGTAGGTTGGAGTTGGTATGATTCTGCGATCACCCGCGTATTGTGATTACGGTTTAAGACAACACACAAACAATTTAAAGATGAACAATAGAGAAACTCGAGTCGGATTACTTTGACCAGACTTTTGGCGAAATTACTGAAGGTGTTCTGATCCAACCAAAAATAAGGGTTATCCGTTTGATTGTGCTTCAGAAAAACTTAAGCTGAATGGACCCACGGTGCATGAAACAATAGCTCAGTATGGGCAGATGTCGTGGTTCAAATTTGATGATGAGGTTGAAATTGAGTCGCGAGCAGATAGTATCGTATGCGGAGTTGTCCAGGGATGGTTATTGGGAACGTGGAGAGTAAATTCCACAGCAGAAAATTTGAAAAATGGGTATAGTTCGATAACGGATACTGGGGAAGTAGAATCAGCCCGTTGGGCCCGGACCGGATAAATTGGCCGCCCACCGGCTTAAGTGAGTCATTGGTTCACATAATTGGATCTTTGTGAGATTGTCGCTCAGTGCTTTTTCTGAAGAACATCAAGGATTACTATTTCTATTTGGAACAAAATACAAGTAATACATTTTGAGTTTACATAGCTCTTTTCAAATATCATTGAAAATGCATTCGATTGAACAATGGTTATTTCAATGTCACGTACAATGCGGCATCACATACATCAGTGCCTGGCAAAAAAAATGTGACAATATAGCATTGGCAAGGTGAACACTACGCGAAATTAATTATGAAAAGTATGAGTTTAAAAAAACAATTCATATTTCAAAGTTGCTGTATACTCTTTGGGATAAAGTCTATCATGAAGGCTTTGATCTCAATTCCGTAACACTGGATGATATACAATATTTCTAGTAGTAACTGTGTCTTCATTCGAAACAATACATACATGCACATTTGCCGCAGAGGTACATCGAGAAAGTGCCACATATAATTGTCCGTGAGTGAATACTGGATTTGGTAACAGGACAGTAACCCTTTCTAAGCTCTGTCCCTGGCTCTTGTTGATTGTCATACAGAAGGCGGGGACTACCGGAAATTGGAATCGTGAGAATGGAATTGGACAATCTTCGTTCCCTTCATGGTTAAGCTGCATTTTGGGAAGGCTTATGGTCGTGCCTTTCATTTCACCAGTCAGAATACGACACTGCATGGCATTAACACCACAATTAGTGACTAACAAACGAGTACCATTACATAATCCAACACCTAAATCTAAGTTTCGTAGAACCATGACGGTAGCACCATCTTTGAGATGAAGCTTGTGGGCTGGAAATCCGGGGAAGTTGAAGCTGTTTAAGACATCAGTTGATACCTGATTATAAAATGCTTGATCCATGAGGTCGATCGAAGTCGATATTTTATAATCTCCAGGTAATGATTGCATCACATGATTGTTAATTAGTGAAACGGTTGCATTGAGAGGTGTTATCAAGCACCTGTTGGAGTATAAGTCAATTAGTTCATTCCAATTTTGAGACATAACCAATGGCCTAGCTCCTCCATATTCGGCATTGACAAAATCTGGATTAAATGATGTGGGTGGGCGGGTCACTGATACATTGCAATACTTTAATTCCAAGTCAGATCCAAATTCCGTCTGCAGATTGCCCGATCCTAACGCTAGCAACCAAGCTGCAAAGTCTCGATTTACTGGATTTGGCTGTGCCATACCGCCTCCAAGTCGAATGTTAAGCGTGAGACTAAATCTTTTGATGTAGTTCCATAAGTAAGAAGCTTTTAAAGTTGCCCCAGCTTGAGTCATCAAGTTTGAACGTCTGACTATTGGTAAGGTTTGCCGGAAATCGCCAGCAAACAGTACGACTTTACCTCCAAAGGGCAAATCAATTCCTGTTAAATCTCGAATTGTTCGATCAACACATTCTATTGCGTGTTTGTGTTGCATAGCTACCTCATCCCATACAATGAAACTAACTTCTTTCATGTTACGCCCAGCTCAATCTCTTGATGACACGGAACAAACAGAATCTTCATTGACCGGAATTGGTATCTTGAAAGCACTATGAGCAGTCCTCCCTCTTAACAACAACAGTGAGGCAATACCCGCTGCTGATACGGACTGGAATTTCACGTCGTTCGCGTTGCAATAATGTAGGATACAGTTTAACACAAATGTCTTCCCCGTTCCACCAGGTCCATCTAGAAATGCGAGGTATGGAGATTGGTCACGAAGAGCTTGAAGAATAGGAGTGATGACCGCTTTTTGTTCAACTGTCAATAATTGCATCATCGCCTCATATTTATGATTACTTTCATCGGGTGACACAGTTTGACGATCCGTGCGTTCTGCATCAGGAAGGCGTAATTCTAAGATTAATCTTTCATCTACTGGCTCTAGGCCGACTGACTCGAGAGTGGAATCCATTGAGACAATACATTTCTGAAGTAAATAAAGTCCATAATTTTCTACTTGCTCACGCGATGGATCGATGTCAGGGTTAAGTCTCTTAATCTGGTACAAACAATCGTCAGATAGATCGGCTACGTGCTCTGACCACAGTAATGTTGGGTTTGCAGGTGAGCTATGAACGAGAATTAATGCTAGCATATGTCGGAGTTGATTGCCAGTTTTCCATACAGCAGCTTCTTTGAGACTCTCGTGGTAATGTCGATCGGTCAGTAACAGTCCGTGCTTGTCGGCAGCTTCTCGAAAAGTATTGAATATCACTCCATCAACCGTTCGTAGATCCTGGAAAGAAGTTGGCCCGGAGATATGAGATAATAGCATCCTTAAATAATACACATCACCTCGTTTCATGTTTGCAAAGTATACCCTTCCAATAGCAAAAGCGGCATTACCTCTTGGTGTTAACCTTTTGGTTTTTTGATTCCAAACAAAGTGTTTTGGGATTTCTTGATATTTTAAACTTCTGATTGTCTGAGAAGAGTCACGGAGTGGGGCATTTTCTCGACAAAGCCTGAAGAATTCGGTCAGGGAAGTTCTCTCGGCTCGTCCAGTCTCCAGCTGTCTTCGTAAGCCTGCTTCATCGTAGAAGTACACGATTTGGTCTCCCTCCAGATGCAAAGAGAGCCGTTGGACAGGGGGCCATCGACCAGCAATTGGATATCTAAGAAGTCGCCAAATAGCTATAGCAATGAATCAGTATATGTTGATGATATGTTAATGATATCACCACCAAAACGACTTACCTTCAGGAGCGCTAAGAAACCGTGCATTTACAAAAGCTAAAATTTCGTCCCGATTTGTCTCGTCTTCAAGATTTGCCATTGTACGGTCATGTCCCTTGAGGATATATTTGAACAGATATTTGATGGCTCTGATACTGGCAGCTACTTCGACGTTGATGTGACAGCGAAATTTCAGAAGCAGGAAACGATTGTATGGTACTACACTACCATTTTTGTATCTAACATTACGATTTAGGCAGTATCGCCCATTATTGGGCCTTTTGTAAGTGGGAAACGAGTCGTCCGGCATTGAAGTTTCATCGCAAAACGGTCGAGGATATCCACGCGTACATTTGGAATTCTTCGCATCCCAGCACTTGTGTTTTTTGCAAGGTCCGTGTAACATATGCTGAGTTACCAATTGAAAAAGGGTTGATTCCGTCTCGGGGTCAGGTAATTGAGATGAGATTAGACAATCAATATCAGAAGCAGTGACTGGTCGTGACTTTTGTTCTAGGAAAAGAATAAGATGGCAGTGAGGTAATCCTCTCTTTTGGAACTCGATTGTATAAACGTAAGCTGCACAAACACCTAGTCGGTCGCGTCTGGTGAGATCGTCAAGTAATTCGTGAAGTTTCATGTAGAAGACACGAGCAACCAAATCAGGTCGGTCATCGGGAGTTTGGCCTTCTTCGAGCTGATCAGTAATTTCTGACCATTGCGGATTTGCAGTCATAGTAATAAATAAGCTTGGGTTACCGTATTCAGCCACCATGGCCATAGAATCTTGGTATAATTGTTGTAAATGACGTGGACCTCCTCTAAAACTTGATGGCAATACAATTCGACGTCCGACAACTTCATCCTCCACTTCATTACCCATGGCTTCAATGGCTCCATGATACATTTCAGCTCGAATCTCCTTTTGGTGAAATCTGAGATATTGTAGTCGTGAATGCTCGACGCATACATACATATCAACAGCAAATTCTTGAAAGAGTCTTCCAGAAGCTAAGATTACAGACCATTCCGGCCGTCTAAACAGTAAATAGGCAAACCAGTCGAGGTTTGATACATCACCTTCTGGATCTACAAAAAAAAGTAATCAGCTGCATGTTATCATATAATTAGGTAGCATATGACTTACTGGTAGGAGTGGGAGAGCGAAAAGAATCATGCCACATTTGTGAGCCATATAAGAATAGCAGGGGATAACGGAGTGCAAAATACCCAGTATGCAATTCGGAAATGCGCTGTCGGAAACCTGATTGTCGAACCAGAACGATATCTCGTGAACGGACTCCAACGTTTCCATCACCGTCAATTATAGCAGCTACCTCATTTGCCGTAGGTAGGTTGTAGCGTCGGTGATCAGAACCAGGTGCCACTATAGTCTTGATCTTTAAAGTGCGCACAACTTCCTCATTGCAGATTTCGTTTGCTGATTTGAATACTTTGGCATAGGGGTTGTGTTGATACATAAACTGCTGGAATAGGAATATTATGTTGAGATCAAGGTCGTGTCCAGATCTGCTGATTCGGAGACGCGCTTCATCTTCACCTCCACCTCCATATGTGAAGATTTGAGCAAATCCTGGTTCGGCTCCTGGGGGAGTCATGAGGGCAGTTATATTATGCGAGAGCTGCCCAGTTACGCGGAATACATAGTGACCCTCCTGGCCTAAAACATCTCCATCAAGTTTTACACCGAGAGAAGTAAAAGACAGCGCGTTGTTATACTTTTGGATCTTCTCACGGAACTTGATCGATCCTGAAAGATTACCATGGTCAGTCTTTTGCAGATATCATTGATGAGTTGATTAACTTACGTGGATTGTTTCCTTTGAGCAGATCTCGAAAAAACTGAGGAACTGGTTGTTCAACAGACGCATGGAAGTATTGCAAAGGGAGATCGACATCGCCGTGGCGACAGCAATTGTTGAATGTCGCATGCAAGTTACGTTTGTCTTTTTGTCTTCGCTCCAATCGCCATCTGTACGCTCCACAACCGTGGCACTGATCATTTTGTAGTCCCAGATTGAAAGGAATTTCGATGCGGAAGCGGTCTATAAGATTGGCCTCACAGCCAAGTCTTTCAGACCGTATTGCTGGCCCTCGCGCACGTCGTCTGGGTGGCATTTGAATTATCTGGCGTTGATGTTAATGATTAATTGACGAACATACAGTGGCTGGAGGTAAACAAATTTTACAGCACTTACTTCAGAAAGAAAATTGGTTTGAAAAAATGGCAATGTGTTGAAGCGTGTAGTCAAGAATAATGAGCAGTTTTGCAAAGGAAAGTCAGTTCGTTTGAAAACGGCAAAGAAGACATAAACTGAAAAGATCAGAACTTCAGTGAATATCCCATTACATTAATCATTCTTTTGATTATCGAGGTTCATGATTTAGCAGACACAAACCAAAGCTTGTCGCTTTTCGGCATCGATACCATAAGATTGTCCTCGGCGAAAGCAAAGTCAAGTCTGAATGCAGCGTATACCGCAAGTTAATCATGAAGTGTGATTTGGGTCAAGGATGTACCAGAGTTCGTGTTGCATAAGTCCAGTGATAATGTTATCTAGCCGAAAGGAATTCAACACTTACAATTGCTTCATGATATAGGATAGCTGTTGTTGCCCAATATCTTGATGTTGATATTGCTTTGACGAAGGTGGTGATAAGGCCACCTCTCTTCGGATACTATCTTCCATTTTCTTGTGCGTAAGGTAATCTGGAAAGGAATTTTGACATGTTGTGTTCGGCTACATCACACGCTCAAAATTAAAGTCTTGTCAGATAACTGATTATTTGGTGTATACAATTATTAATTGGCTTGAGCGAACAAGAGGACTTACTGACTTTGGTGAAAGACTTAAATTGTTGATTATCCAGCATATACGGACTATACACCGCTGGTTATCAAGTGGATTTCATGCCTGATCAAGCAAGTAAGTGATATTGTGTACTGCAATGAGGAAGCCCAATAATACACCAACTTTTGACACGGATATATTCTTGTCGCATGTTTCAAACTGAAAATCTTTACACTTAAGGCCATGATGGCCAATTGCCGGTTAGTTGACGTTGATTAAGAGCATATGAGGTCTATAAGAGGGACTTTCGTTAGCTCACAGTTGATGAAGTTACCAAGTGCTGATAAGTCACATTATCAAAAACCTGCATACCTTAGAACCTCTGAATCCCTGATAGCTGAGACAGCGAAGTAAATTGTAACCTTGATTTATTCTTATTCGCAGCAAAACCTTAAGTTTAAGAATTATGAAGCATACTGTGAATAGTTATTTTTTGAAGGGTCATGGAGTTGTGATCTGGACTACTTTGTATAGCTCGAAGCACGAGGTTGAGCTACATGACATGGCCAAGTTGGTTGTAGAATTTGTCAAAGGTTAGTACATCGCTAATAAATCTCTAAAATCAAGCTGAGTTTGTGATACTCATCAGAATCCAAAGGAAAACCACGACCAGTCTTTCAAATGGGAACGATTGAGTACCTGGATATTGGTCGCAAATATGATTTCACCATCTTGATACCGTATCATGAATCTCCGGAGGTGATGATTTCGGAACATTGATAGGTACACTTTCCAATCACTACATGTAATGTAATAAGGGTCCTGTCATGTAAACTGATGATGATGATATTACAATGCTCCATCATAGTTACGATGATAGTGTTATTCTACTATTCTATTCCTGCTGTTCGTCTCAAACAAATCGTACTCTGTGTAGCTAGTTAGATTCAATATTTCCTTGTTGGCTTTTGATATCATGAGATAACTATTGAAATTATAATTTATGTGATTGCATCTATGAGCGTTTGTATGTATAATCATCTTGACTCGAGATTTCATCTAATGACGCAGGAGGATGTTTGTCTTGTGAGTCTGGCATCAAACACAACATTACTAATTGAGCTTAAACTTGATATTTGGTTATAACCAATTGAATTGGACATTTATGTAATATTCTCATGTGAATCGATGTGAATTGTCTCTGTGTGCAGGGTGGACAATCAGCAGCACAGCAGTTGGAAGTTATTTTGCTTAAAAGTGGAGGGTTTGTATGGTTGCTCATTGATAAATTGAAAATATCAGGTATTCGGAGCTTGCTGTATACATGTGGGGTGAAACAAATCAAAAACAAGTGATAACGAGTCATCAATTGGTGAGCAAGAAAAGAGCAAAGGGATACATAATAAGAAATAAGAAATGTATAGGAGAGAGTATGAGATTGTTAACTAAAATAAAACTGAGCCATGCACGATTAAAGAAAGAACTTGAGAGATCGTAGTATGATGTGGCAAAGGCTATAGATGGGATTCAATAGTTCAAAATATTCAGTTACAATGCTCAACCTATGGATTGCTGTACTTGGTCGATAAAGTCAAGCAAAAGCTAAGATTAGAGTTCATCACCATCTAAGAAAAGGATCACTTTGCAATCATGGAATTGAAAGCTGAAATACAAAAAGGAATAAAATGTAAGATAAGTAGAAGAAAAATCTGTGTGGAGGCCCGATGTTTAAGGTGGGTCAAACATAACACAGGTATGCTAGGATTATAATCTCTCTTGTAAGAGAGTTTATCAAAATTCTGAGCATGGAGTAAAAAGTGAAAGTGTAATGTGAAAACAAACAAAGTGGTAAGATCATAATTTTGAGGTTTTAAATACTATTAGTAGAAATAAAAAATTCTGTCGAGTCTGAGCATGAAGGTAATGAAAATAATGTATAAATGTCAACTTTGGTGACCATTTATAGGACCAAATACTTGCTGGAAACAAAAAAAACACAGCAGGATCATGATGGTAACAGTCGAGTTAATTCATGCATGATGGTTATTGGATAATGGCCTCTTGAGACTCACTCACACGATTAAAATTCGTCTGAGTTGGGAATGACAACTTCCTTTGTCGCCTTTCTTTTGGGTGGAGCGCGAGCTCTTTTCTTGGGAGGTTGAGTAGCTGGTGGATCGGGTAGTTGGCTGCCCACCAAAGTTCCAGAGGTGGATGCCATGGATGACGGGGTAGTGTCCGAAGGACCAAATGGCAAGTTGGGACTTGATTCGGATGGCGTCATGGGGGACTTGAAAGGGGTGCTTGGAGCACGGGACGAAAACCTGAAGTTTGATAGTCAGTGAAAGTTCATTAATCGTGTTAGGATAGCAAGGTTAGGACATACTTTGCCTTAGAGCGTCCAGCGGAATTGGCCTGCTTGCTAGCTTGGCCAGAGCTGCGATTAGGAGTCAACTCCAAATGACCAGATGTAGGAGAAACTTTGTTTACCTGAAATTTTGGAATGTCAGCCATAGAATTGATCAGAAGTTATTATTAAAACTTACGATGACAACGTAGCGGAAGGTGATTTCATTGAAATCCTTCACGTAACCGTGGAATTGACATTCGCGGCCTTCTTTAACAATTTGTGGTGATCCCCCAAGATGTTTGAATGGGGGGATGCAATACTCAATCGTCATTGATCTGGGTTTCTTGGTCTGGCGTCAAAACATAGATTTGAGGTAGCACGGATAAAGTCAGGAATTCCACAACAGTAAAGGAAGTTGTTAGCACGCTCTACCAACTTACTTGAGGGTGAAAATCACAATGTTGAACAATCACGATCAGGGTGACTTTGTCGGGATCAGTAGGTTTAGACTTAAGGTATTGCATACATTCTTCAACTTTGAAATCGACAGAAATGACTCTGCCAATACCAGTGAAACCGATGGAGTTGTCCAAATCGACAGAGAAATCATCAGCAGGGCCAAGAATGAGCCGGTCAGAAGCTTCAAAAAACAGTTCGTCCTTGTGCGTTTCATTGGTGTTGGTGGGAAAGAAAGCACCCCGCAGCAAGCATACAGTACCTGGCTCAATCTTGAAAGATGGGGTACTGAAACCTGTGACACGTATGTCGTAGGCTAAATCTTGCACGCGATTGAAGCCAGTACAATGAATGGAGGTTGAGTAAGAACGATATTCGACTTTGATGAGTTGCTCTTGAGTAATCTAGATTGAATGCAAGGCAGAAAATGGTCAGAGATACGGGCATCATATTCAATTTGATACAAAACTACCTTCTCTTCGATGGCAAAAATACCAGAGAGATAGACTCCGTGGCCGGTGCAAGGCTGGTAGATGGGATGACTAAACGCATATAGTAATGAATAGGACCGAGCAAAATGAGGAAACATGGAGTTATGACCGTGGTGTTAGTTGATGTAGTGGATGTCGTGGATTTTTACACAACCAGGAGAAGAACGCAAAAGATAGGGTTAATAATAATTATATTATCAATAGAAATATTAATGGTGAATAAGAACCAAGCTTGAATTTGGGAACAAGAACGTACAATCAGATAGGAACCGAGAACTGGGGAGTCAAAGCACAAGGATGATGTTGCAATGGATGAAATTTTGTTGAGCCAGTGGTCATAGTTTATATATGTGATCGATTAGCGCAAGGAGCAAAGTAGATGGAATGGACGTGAGTGATTGTCGGAATTACCAATGGCGGGATCCCTATTTCAATTGCAAGGAGTAATTTGAAGATCAACAGGCGAGAGTTGAGAGAAGTTGGTCATGTGTAAGGAAGTCATTTTGTTAGGCGGATGTTTTGAAATGTAGAGCGATGATGAAAGGAGTGAGGATTGGCATACGCGGTGTTGAAAGTGAAAGAAAATTATGAAGTGGGTTTGAAGATGATACGTTGAATGTACCGGCCACAAATGGAAAGTATAGATAGTTGTTGCGAGTAACGACTGATGACAACCATTGGGGGGTGACCAAGAGGGGAAGCGGGCAGATAACGGCTGCTAACCAAACACAGAAGTTCCCAGCAATCAGTTCCAGAGGATCGACTTAATCAAATGTCAAGGATGATAACGTACTGGTGAAAGATTTGAAAGATCTTCTTGGTCCAGCTTGCTTGAAAGGCAAAAAACTCAGAATGCTGACAAAGGAAACGAATGAAGGTCGCAGTGTCACATGTAGTCGTAATTGAGGTGGATGATGGCGGCTAAAAGTCCAGTAGGTGAAAGCGTTGGTGGATGGTCCATGTAAGTTATATCAAATTGGGTGGGGTCCTGATGGGATGACAGAGGAAACAAATGAAGGTCTCAGTGTCACATGTCATCGGAAATCAGATGGACGACGGCGGCTAAAAATCCAGCAGGTGAAAGCGTTCGTGGATGATCCGTGAGGGTTATATCGAATTGGGTGGGGTCCTGATGGGATTGGGGTGAATCGGGTGGATTGAAGAATCGAGTGTTGGTAGGTGAGTGAATGGTGAAGGTGAATATTGAAGGGGACAGAAAATCGGAGTGGAACACGTGAACAGTGGATTAATTGTATTAAGTGTGTAAACCGGGAATTTGATAGTAGGATTTGGGAGTTTTGTGAGTTTTATCTGGGAACGCGGTTTCCCTTTAACTTTTATGATGACTTGATCAGAGACTGTGTAACCGGAGTCAGCAAGAATGTAGTCGTCATCCGAAAGGAATTGTTCTGGGCTGTGGTAGAGCTGTTTGTCAAGTTTATAATTAGCTATGGGCCAAAAAGACACATTTATGAAATGCCTTACCGGGGTGGAACGATAAACACGTTGATCATGAGCGGATCCACACCATCCCAACTCATAGTATCTGATTTTTTTGTTTATGTCGCAGACCAACATCACATTGAACGCGTAGAAGTTCTTTCGAGTCCAGTAGTCCTCCGGATTCTTGACAGGCGCCATTGCAAGTGGAATCAAAGTGCCGTCCATGAACGCAACCAAGTCTTTAAAGGTACTTGAATTGACTTGAGTCTTCAAATGCTTGCGCTCTTCTTCATTGGGCCAGCGGACCCAATCCTTCTTAATTTCTAAAATTGCATACACACAATGATTTGTCCAGTTTTGTACACTACCCTCTAAGTGGAAGAAAACAATGCTTTCAATGAACGTTGAGATGAATAAAGAACAAAAAAAAAGCTACTCACCTGAAATGTGAAACATATAAGCAAGATGATTGTGGTCACCACCGTTTCCCGAGCTGCCAAGATTTGCAAGTGCAACTAAAAGCTGCCAGGCTACTGGCACCTGTTTGTTTGGAGATGAATTATGAAACACCTTGCTACCCTGAATCTTGTTAACCAAGTCCCAAAATCAATCCTCACTCATTCGAGCCTATATGAGAAAATGTCACCAGCAATCACCTTCCAAGCTACCCAAATCCATAAGGTGGAAACTTGCAATTCCTACAAAAGATTGACCCCCTTCCCAAATTCGATGAGGGAATGCTGCATTTCTCAAATCTTTACGTTCACGTGATGATCGGTCATGAATGTATCGAGTTGATTGCAAAATCTTCAGAGCTTCTTGAAGACGATCCACTTCGGAGTTGGCAATTTGGCGCAAACGTCGTCCAAGGAGCACAAGTCGAACGCTTTCAGCCCTTGCTAAATGATACTCAAGAGCTGCAAGTAACAGAATGGCCAACGGTCGTCTGGTATTGAAGTTGTTATCAAAGTTGTCTGTCTCGTCGATATTGCCATTGGGATCACCATTGGTCTCCGCATTGATTTCACGCTGTGCAACAAGTACTTGAAGACATCGAAGGATGAAAAGACTCTCCGCATCCTGTTCCCGCTGCAATGCCAGAGTAGCCACCTGCAGTTGTGCTGTATGATTTGTCTCATTTAGTGACCGGTGTATGGAGTGTTTCAGGAATAGACGATGTAGAACTTACAACCCAACAAGGGTTATACAGAGCTGGAAGAGGATAATCTACTAATAAAATGACTAGTAGAAGTTGTCTAAGGACTGCTCTTCTAAAACAACACAATCAGAAAGAGCTCTGTTGTATTGAGTACTGATAAGGCACCAGAGAAATATAACTTCACACGTAATTTTAACTTCAAAAGCACACTTTGTATTACTATCAACACTGCTATAGTGTTATTCCCAATTGATAACTGAAAAAAAATAAGCAATATCTGATTGATATTATTCCCAATAAGTCTTTATGACTATAAAACTAAAGTAAATTTCTCTTTATAACTGTAATAAAGGGCGTATTTAAGTGAACAGGTACTATTAAAATAAGTTTATGATGATAAACAAAATAATAATGGTGTAAATGATAAAGAAAAAAAAAGGGGAACAACAGTCCCAAAACCCTCTCAAAGTATATATAACAATGTACTAGAACTTTTACAATGGTCAACAGCCTCAAAACCAATCAAATCCGCCCAAAATTCCCTAAAAACCCTATGATGACGCAATGTAATGGTTTTGTTACTAATAAATGATGTAATTTTCACAGCTAAAAGTGATCAATGACGCAATAATATGATGTACAGCACTTCTTATGATGAATACAGGTGATTTTTTCCTTGTAAACTAGCTGAAAACCAATTTTTTGAGATTACGAATTTTTTCAGATGTGCTCCAATTTTTGATTACTAAAGTGCATCTTGTAGCCCACGTGTTACTGATCATTTCTGACACCTACATGACCTACTTCTGATGAGTGATGAGTAAGATATTGAGTTGTGAAGTTAAGGTTTTTAGTGTTACATATGACTTGTGACTGTAAATTCGAGATTCACACCAATTCTTTATTTGCCTTATAACTTTTTACACACACCTCCGTTACTAATGATTTAAAGTTTGTACATTATGTAATCCACTCTTCTGCGTTGAATGAGCCATCTACCAACCTATTCTGACGTCATTTGACATATGTAATTAGCTGAAAACCTCCATTTTCCACGAATTTCACCCATTTTCTTCACTTTTCACAGCTACTACTATCTTTTTCTTGCTCATGTAATAGGACATCATCATCTATAGCCTTAAAAATCCCGGAAAATCCTCTTGGCAACCTTAAATTCCATCACTACCACTATTACACAACCAAACTACACGTGTACCTCTTGTTTACCAACTTCGAAAAAGTGCTTTTTTCCTAATAACTTCTGTTTCTACTTATCAACCTTGAAGATTAAAATTGTCATAGTATCATATAATGTTGTTCTTTCATATTCTAACCTCATAATACCCATAACTCTAACATTACTACCCTAAAAACCATTTTTCAACCTTTATACCTATAATTTCGAATTTTTCTTATGTTTTTCTTTCTTTCTTTTTGTAATAAATTTGTAAGTAAACTATAATGATCTTAATATATACTGTGAAATAAAATGATGTAATGTTGACCTAATGACCAATACATAAGCCTACAAGAGCTTCAATTGATCAAAAACCTCCATTTCGAATTTTCTTTCCTGCTGAATCCTGCTAATAAACTGGTAAACTGGTAATTGTGAATTTTTTAATTGATCCCATAAATTGATCACCACAACGACGGGATGTTCGAACCATGGCAGTAAGCTGAAGCCAGAGATAGTTGAGTAAAATCTTTGTGGTTGAGAAATACGGACGTAGATGAGAACCATGCAAATTAGATGACAAAATTTGAGGATGAGGTACTCCACATGGAGTCTAGGTGGATGTGATGAGTGGTGTAAGTACTACGAGCTGATCTGGGTCAAACCCCAAGGGCTTATGGCTCACAGGGGCATTCAAACATGTCTGATTTGTCAGAAAGTCAGAGAGTCAGAACACACCAAAATTTGGTTTTCTGACGTTCTGAAAAAACCTTGGGAAATTTTCCAATTTTTTCTGAATTTATATTTGTACTAGCCCAATCAGCGGCGGGCGCCGCACATCTCCTTCCCCAGAAATTTCTCAGACTTTCACACAGATATCAATTTCACAACAGGTGTGATACATAGCGCATCTACAATTGAACCTTGAGTTTTTGAGTCTAACAAAAATTGCTTTTTCAATGTAGACACATCTAACACTCAGTCCCACATTCAGTAAACTGCTGCTCATACTTGAAGCACCAAACTTACCAGTTCAAAAGTGCCCTGCAAGACTGTGGAGTTGTGCTCAGTCAGGAGATACATATATCCATAGTATGTACTAATGATAATCAGACCAAGCAAATCATTACATATTTTTCTCTCTATGCGCTGTCCTCCTGCCCTCTGGTGAAGACTTTGATCAGCAGTTGGCTGCAAGATCCCAAAGCAATAAATGAGGGTCCAGAAGAATGGCTCAAAAATGAATCAAGATCTAATATCACAAATACAAAAAAATTGCATAAGATCATTAGGGGTTCTCAAAGTTGGCCCGGTTTCAAGAAAACCCAGTTGACCCGGTTGCTTTTTGGCAGTAACCTTGTGTATCGAGTTGACATTTTTTGACAGATCACAGCCAAAAAGTCAACTGGGTCAACCGGGTTTTTACAAACCGGGTCTACTTTGAGAACCCCTATTCAACAGAAAACCAAATCTTATGTGAGAAAAATATCATCTACTCCACTTCTACACCAAAGTTTCTATTCTTCTCCAAGTGAGTCCTTACTCAAAGCCTCAATCAATATCAACTTCAAACTTTCAGCAACTACAGCTTCTTTAAAGCTTCTTTTAACCACAATTATTGCTTAAAGGAATTTGAGATCATATGCAAGCTTCATTTGATGATAACTTGCTACTTGTCTTCCTGTTATAAATTTGAATTTTATGAATGACCTTGAATTGAACTTGACACTTTCCTAACCTTATTGTCTCATTTGTTTGAATCCTTAACTCCAATGAAGGCCCTTTTTCTCAAAATTTATATTATCAAAATGATGAAACATTTCACATAGCAATTTTGACATGTCACCTGTTCCACCACAATATTTTTGAATTCTTGCATTACAAAAATATCAATCATGATTCACATCAATTATATATTTCTTTGGGTTGGGGTTCAATGACTCCATCTTTCATCCAACTTTCAAGTGATGAAGTTGGTTTAAAGACTCTTAAAACAACTTCATGTTCTTCATTAGTTCATCAAGTTTCATCAAAAATTCAACAATCATATTAAATAATCAATGGCACATGATTCATTCCAATAAACATCATCTCCAAATTAAGTCATCAAAACTAAATGTAATTCTTTGACTCAGAAGAAATTACCAATGGATGCTGCTGGCCTTTTTGCTTCTAAAGAAGT